CGACCTGGTGAAAGAGTGAGTCTACACCTGAGGGGGGATAATGTGGGGGGGGGGGGGAGTAAGGGTCCATGAGCAACGACCTGGTGAAAGAGTGAGTCTACACCTGAGGGGGGGCATGTGGGGGGGGGGGGGGAGTAAGGGTCTATGAGCAACGACCTGGTGAAAGAGTGAGTACCTGAGGGGGGTCATGTGGGGGGGGGGAGTAAGGGTCCATGAGCAACGACCTGGTGAAAGAGTGAGTCTACACCTGAGGGGGGGCATGTGGGGGGGGGGAGTAAGGGTCCATGAGCAACGACCTGGTGAAAGAGTGAGTCTACACCTGAGGGGGTATAATGTGGGGGGGGGGAGTAAGGGTCCATGAGCAACGACCTGGTGAAAGAGTGAGTCTACACCTGAGGGGGGGCATGTGGGGGGGGGGGGAGTAAGGGTCCATGAGCAATGACCTGGTGACAGAGTGAGTCTACACCTGAGGGGGTATAATGTGGGGGGGGGGGGGGGAGTAAGGGTCCATGAGCAACGACTTGGTGAAAGAGTGAGTCTACACCTGAGGGGGTATAATGTGGGGGGGGGGGGGAGTAAGGGTCCATGAGCAACGACCTGGTGACAGAGTGAGTCTACACCTGAGGGGGGGCATGTGGGGGGGGGGGGGAGTAAGGGTCCATGAGCAACGACCTGGTGAAAGAGTGAGTCTACACCTGAGGGGGGGCATGTGGGGGGGGGGGGGAGTAAGGGTCCTTGAGCAACGACCTGGTGAAAGAGTGAGTCTACACCTGAGGGGGGGCATGTGGGGGGGGGGGGGGAGTAAGGGTCCATGAGCAACGACCTGGTGAAAGAGTGAGTCTACACCTGAGGGGGGGCATGTGGGGGGGGGGGGGAGTAAGGGTCCTTGAGCAATGACCTGGTGAAAGAGTGAGTCTACACCTGAGGGGGTATAATGTGGGGGGGGAGTAAGGGTCCTCACTTTTTGTCCACAGAGACTCTTCAGGTTACACTTTCTTTCTGATGTGCAGAAACCTCTTGAGTTGCTGTGGACTCTAAGCTCTGATTGGCTAAAGGGGTCAGTGCAGGATGACTGATTAAGGAGGTCACAGAGACCGTGCAGCAGGTCAAGGTACCGGCCCGGCTCTAAATCCATAATCTGTCAGGATCTGATTTCCACCTCGCTGCAGATTATCAGCCGCCGACATGACAAGGTTAAACCCCCCCGCTCGCCTGAGAGCTGCTACCTGCACCTGAGTGTTCCCACCGCAGGCTGCCACTGGTTCTGGTTCTCTCTGTGGTTCTGTCTGTGGTTCTGTCTGTGGTTCTGTCTGTGGTGTAGCGTCTGATGGATGGAGTAGTATCTGCAGAGTTGAGGGTGTGTGAGCTTTCAGGTGTGTGTGTGAGCATCCAGGTGTGTGTGTGTGTGTGTGTGTGTGTGTGTGTGTGTGTGTGTGTGTGTGTGTGTGTGTGTGTGTGTGTGTGTGTGTGTGTGTGTGTGTGTGTGTGTGTGTGTGTGTGTGTGTGTGTGTGTGAGCTTTCAGGTGTGTGTGAGCATCCAGGTGTGTGTGTGTGAGCATCCAGGTGTGTGGGTGTGAGCATCCAGGTGTGTGTGTGTGAGCTTTCAGGTGTGTGTTGGAAACAGGTTGAGGGTGTGGAGAGTTACCTACACTCTCTGCTTAGCGCCCCCTGCAGGTCACTCCTGTCCTGCTGGTCTTCTAATGGACCTTTAATAAACCACAACCCCCCTGAGAGTAAACCTGGGTTGCAGTCGCACTGCTCACGGGGTTAAGGGATAGTGGATAGGATAATTCAAAAGGACTTAGGAGAAGAGACTGCGGTGCTTTAGAGAATCGACTGCACTTTCACTATCCGACGTGTTTATGATGCGCCAGCGGACGTCATGAATGTGCGCCTGCTGCTGCTGTGGGGAAACTATGGAAACTACAGTTTTCTATACAGCGGACTACAACATGGATGTTTAATAAATCAAATCAAATCAAATCAGGTTTTATTTATAAAGCACATTTAAAAGCGATTTTTGGTCGAGCCAAAGTGCTGTACATGTAATAAAAACACATTACTACAAATCACAATAAATGACAATAAATTACAACAGATATATCTTAAAAACAAAATAAAAATAAAACACAGGGAAAAGTCAGGAGTCGTGCTCCGCTCTAACTAGAAAGCCAGAGAGAAGAAGTGTGTTTTTAGTTTAGATTTAAAAACCCCTAGGGTCTGGGCCGACCTCACATGGAGGGGCAGAGTGTTCCAGAGCCTAGGGCCAGCTGCTGCGAAGGCTCGGTGCCCTCGGGTTTTTAGCCTGGTCTTGGGCACTACCAGCAGCAGCTGGTCAGCAGACCTTAAAGCTCTAATAAGAACGAGGGACTACTGTAAACTCATCTAGAGACTCTGCACCGTGCTCTGATGCTGTTATGCTTTATGAACGGGGACAACAGAGAAACATATTCTTCATGACCAAAGTTGGAATTGAAATAAAAAAGGAAAGTGAAACTTATGCTCATCACCCTCTCCCTCCGGTCCACATTAATACAAATGATCCCAATACGTATGATTGTATGAAAAGATCTTCAAATCAATACAAATGTATTTATTATAAACGTTAGTCCTTAACATCTATCACTGTGTATATCACCATTCAAACATCTTTTCAAAGTTGAACAAACCCCACACAGCTCAGTAAAGACTGTGAAATGTTGACTTTATTTGATCATTTCAGTCAAAACTAACGTTCATATTTCTCTTTTTGATTATAATACTGATGAACGTTCAAAACAAAGCACTTTGGCAACTTACCACATACGTTTTAAAAAGCTTAATAAGCACCGTAACTTTCATGATATCATTTCTCGTTTATAATCGGTTGTTTCCGTGAACGGCCGACTGTTGGGTGACGGCAAATGCCGCGGCTGCAAGGCATTGTGGGGCAGCATTTTCTCCTCTCCTTTCGGTTAGGGAGGTCCAGTGGTTCCTAAGCTAAAGGAGGTTATAAAGGAAGTTTGAAACCTCTGTCTGTCTGTCTGTCTGTCTGTATCTCTTAAAGGAGGACTGGTTCAAGTCAGCAGAACTTCAGAGCAGCTGGAGCTGAAACCAGAGAACCTGAAGGAACCCTTTAGATAGAGAGACCTGTGAATGCCCCTTTGCCACCAAACCAGTTCCAGCTCCGTGCTCTTCTGGTTCCGACCTGGTTCTTCTCTGTAGCCCCAGGTGTGTTCCCACCGCTCAGAGCTCACAACAACAACAACAACAACAACAACAACAACAACAATGAGGACTGCGTCTGGTCGATGATCGTGTTTCTTTTAATCATACGAAGCCAGATTAAATTTAAAAAACGACTTCTCCAACCTTATACTTTTCTCCAGAGTGCCGTGGTTCATTGTTTATTAATGTGTTTCAGCGGCATTTACCGACCGCTGCAGTGCTGCTCGTCCACGGGAGTTTAGTCTCCCGTTAACTCACAGCAGAGTTCAGTCTCCCGTTAACTAACGGCAGAGTTCAGTCTCCCGTTAACTCACGGCAGCGGAAGGTCTTCACGGTCTGACTGTCACACAGCAGCTGATAAATACCCCCCAATGTGTTTCAGTCTGAATTGACGTTGTTTGGCATCACAACGCTGTTTCTCTGGTATAAAATGGGTGATGTTAGCATAGCAACTGAAGCTAATCTGACAACTTGTTGCTATCCTATTGTGGCATAAGCCGTTTTCTACAGACACATCTTACTGGCGTATTTTTCATTATCACACGAAGCCTGGTTAGTGTTGCCTGCCTTTATAAGTGTGTGCTTGCGTTCTGGTCACTTTGCTCAGCGCTACTGCTTGTTACAACTTTGATTGGCTGTACTCGCCTTTAACTGTTAGCTCAGGTTAATCTAGCCCCCTTCCGACGTAAGCGGGGGGCGTGTGGCGCAGTGGGTTGTCCGTAGGTGTTGGGATCAGGGGGTCACAGGTTCAAACCCCACTGCAGTCAGCATGTCGTTGTGTCCCTGAGACACTTCACCCCAAAGTGCTCCTGTGGGGATTGTCCACAGTATTGAGTAAGTAAGTCGCTTTGGATAAAAGTGTCTAACATGTAACATGTAATGTATTGGTTCTTGGTTGTTGCCGGGCAGCCGAGTGGGGTCAGCTAAGAACCGTTTTTCGGTGCTTAGAGCCGGCTCCGCTGCGGTGGAAACAGGAAGAACCGGAGCTGAAACAGGCTGTAGCCTGCAGGAACCTGTAGAGGGCAGGGTTAGGGGGCGGGGACTATATACTATAATACTGTTATTTTCTGTTAAAGTATGTATTCGTATATTATGTGTTGTGTGTATTTTCAATGTAGTGTTTTGTGTATGTCTATTATGTAATGACAAAACAATTTCAAATGAAGTTTTCCAAAAAAAAGTTAGGGGCGCGGCTCAGATATACACTGACGACAAAAACAGTATAACACTAACCTGTCTGTCTCCCTGTCTGTCTCCCTGTCTGTCTCCCTGTCTGTCTCCCTGTCTGTCTCTCTCCCTGTCTCCCTCCCTGTCTCCCTCCCTGTCTCTCTCCCTGTCTGTCTCCCTCCCTGTCTGTATTCCTATCTGTCTGTCTGTCTGTCTCCCTGTCTGTCTTCCTGTCTCCCTGCAGCCGGGTGCTCAGTAACGTGGAGGGGAAGTACCTGATGGACAGCGTGCCGTTCAGCTGCTGTAACCCCGGGTCCCCGCGGCCCTGCATCCAGCACCACCTGACCAACAACACGGCGCACTACGACTACGACCACCGCATCGAGGAGCTGAACATCTGGAGCCGGGGCTGCCGGGAGGCGCTGTTCGCCTACTTCAGCAGCATGATGAACAGCATCGGGGTCCTCATCCTCTTCACCATCATGCTGGAGGTGAGCCCTGCCCACAGCACCTGCAGCCAATCAGCATCCAGCTAGCTGTCGTTTTACCCACCCAGTTTAGATGTAACCACGCCCACTTCCTCATGATGAAAGCATGACGCAGTAAACCTGAAGTCTCTTCGTAGAGACTCTTCGTAGAGACTCTTCGTAGAGACTCTTCGCAGAGACTCTTCGTAGAGACTCTTCGTAGTGCTGACTCATGTCAGGGTTTAGGACTCATAATGCTGACTCATGTCAGGGTTTAGGACTCATAATGCTGACTCATGTCAGGGTTCAGGACTCATAATGCTGACTCATGTCAGGGTTTAGGACTCATAATGCTGACTCATGTCAGGGTTTAGGACTCATAATGCTGACTCATGTCAGGGTTTAGGACTCATAGTGCTGACTCATGTCAGGGTTTAGGACTCATAGTGCTGACTCATGTCAGGGTTCAGGACTCATAGTGCTGACTCATGTCAGGGTTCAGGACTCATAATGCTGACTCATGTCAGGGTTCAGGACTCATAGTGCTGACTGATGTCAAGGTTTAGGACTCATAGTGCTCACTCATGTCAGGGTTCAGGACTCATAGTGCTGACTCATGTCAGGGTTTAGGACTCATAATGCTGACTCATGTCAGGGTTTAGGACTCATAGTGCTGACTCATGTCAGGGTTCAGGACTCATAGTGCTGACTCATGTCAGGGTTCAGGACTCATAATGCTGACTCATGTCAGGGTTCAGGACTCATAGTGCTGACTCATGTCAGGGTTCAGGACTCATAGTGCTGACTGATGTCAAGGTTTAGGACTCATAGTGCTCACTCATGTCAGGGTTCAGGACTCATAGTGCTGACTCATGTCAGGGTTCAGGACTCATAGTGCTGACTCATGTCAAGGTTTAGGACTCATAGTGCTGACTCATGTCAGGGTTCAGGACTCATAGTGCTGACTCATGTCAGGGTTCAGGACTCATAATGCTGACTCATGTCAGGGTTTAGGACTCATAGTGCTGACTCATGTCAGGGTTCAGGACTCATAGTGCTGACTCATGTCAAGGTTTAGGACTCATAGTGCTGACTCATGTCAGGGTTCAGGACTCATAGTGCTGACTCATGTCAAGGTTTAGGACTCATAATGCTGACTCATGTCAGGGTTTAGGACTCATAGTGCTGACTCATGTCAGGGTTTAGGACTCATAGTGCTGACTCATGTCAGGGTTTAGGACTCATAGTGCTGACTCATGTCAGGGTTTAGGACTCATAGTGCTGACTCATGTCAGGGTTCAGGACTCATAGTGCTGACTCATGTCAGGGTGTATGGCAGGTGTTTGAGGTGTTTGAGATGTGTGTGTCTCTGAGGACTTTCTCCTGTGGGGGGGATCAGAGCTCGTTAATCTCCTGGTCTAACGAGGTAATCCGGCACACCTGCTCTGACCCACCTGAAGCTCTGGGTTAGCAGAGTCACTGATTAGCTCAGATTAGCGTTAGCTCCTGAGCAGCTGCTCTCACCAGACTGCAGCGAGGAATCATGGTTTAAATCAGATTCATGTCAGGTCTCTCTTGAGAATGAGACCTTGTGTCTCAATGAGATTCACCTGTATAAATAAATGCTAAATGAAATGTACAGGTCGGTAAAGTAGCTGATAGTACAGTTAAATATATAATATTACAATACTCAGATTGCAGTGTCATTAAGATTCAAGGCTTTTATTGTCATTTGTTCATAGCTACAGTGAAGTTATGAACAAATGACAATCTGAGGTCACGGGCTCCTCCAACAGAGCAACACAATAACACAGATGCAATAGTGCAAGTCAATATAATAAAACAGAATATAATAGAAACTGTGCAGAATCTCTCTCTAGGTCGTCCTCAGACGAGCCCTCCACTTCATGGTTGGATTTACTATGCTGATTAAGGACTGGGGGGCACAACTCCTCTCAGTCTTGGTTTTAGTTCAGAGTGTCCTTCTCCTAGATGGGTTGCCTTCCATGGCTATGAGCCCCATCTGCCCCTGCTATTTGCCCATAGCTGGGACAGTCGGTAGCGCTTGGTCTTTCCGGGACTTGAACTGGTGACCTTCCAGTTGCCAAGCCAAGTCCCTATGGACTTCGCCACCACCGCTGTAAAATATAATATAGAATAGTCTATATACAGTCATTGGAATATTGATATATATGAGTGTTGGCTTCATATCCATGTTGTTGCACCATGAGAGAAAGAGTGGTGGGGAGGGGGTTATATTAGGGCAGATGGAGGACGCTCCTCAGAGACGTTCCTCAGAGAGGGAGGACGTTCCTCAGAGACGTTCCTCAGAGAGGGAGGACGTTCCTCAGAGATGGAGGATGTTTCCGTGCAGCGACGTGCTAAGCTGCACGCTGGGCGGTTCTCCGAGGATCAGAAACTATTCCTGGGATAATCTGAGCAGTGGCAACAGGTTGCATTCTGGGAAGATCAGGGTCAGTTCCTGCGAGCGAGATTTTGTGGGTCAAATAAACAAGTTTGATCTGAAGCGTCATGAGATTACAGAGAACTCAGGAACTCAGGAACACCTTCACTGCAGCTGTGCTTTAGTGTGTTGTTATTTACCTCTCAGATGTTTGTGTCATCTTTTGTTTACAACACAGTCTTTAGTCCATTAACTGGGGGTCTCTCCCATTAACTGGGGGTCTCTTCCATTAACTGGGGGGTCTCTCCCATTAACTGGGGGTCTCTCCCATTAACTGGGGGTCTCTCCCATTAACTGGGGGTCTCTTCCATTAACTGGGGGGTCTCTCCCATTAACTGGGGGTCTCTTCCATTAACTGGGGGGTCTCTCCCATTAACTGGGGGGTCTCTTCCATTAACTGGGGGGTCTCTCCCATTAACTGGGGGTCTCTCCCATTAACTGGGGGGTCTCTCCCATTAACTGGGGGTCTCTCCCATTAACTGGGGGGTTTCTCCCATTAACTGGGGGTCTCTCCCATTAACTGGGGGGTCTCTCCCATTAACTGGGGGTCTCTCCCATTAACTGGGGGGTCTCTTCCATTAACTGGGGGGTCTCTCCCATTAACTGGGGGTCTCTCCCATTAACTGGGGGTTTCTCTCATTAACTGGGGGGTCTCTTCCATTAACTGGGGGTCTCTCTCATTAACTGGGGGGTTCCTCTCATTAACTGGGGGTCTCTCTCATTAACTGAGGAGTTTCTCCCATTAACTGGGGGTCTCTCCCATTAACTGGGGGTCTCTCCCATTAACTGGGGGGTCTCTCCCATTAACTAGGGGCTTCTCTCATTAACTGGGGGTCTCTCCCATTAACTGGGGGTCTCTCTCATTAACTGGGGGTCTCTCCCATTAACTGGGGGTCTCTCCCATTAACTGGGGGGTCTCTCCCATTAACTAGGGGCTTCTCTCATTAACTGGGGGTCTCTCCCCTTAACTGGGGGTCTCCCATTAACTGGGGGTCTCTCCCATTAACTGGGGGGTCTCTTCCATTAACTGGGGGGTCTCTCCCATTAACTGGGGGTCTCTCCCATTAACTGGGGGTCTCTCCCCTTAACTGGGGGTCTCTCCCATTAACCTGTTAAGCCCCAAGCCTGTTTTTAGGAATCCAAAGTCTAACATATAAGTACCCTGTATCAAGATTGATGCAAAACAAGTGACATTTGACCTTTTTAGAGAGATTTAGCAAAAACAAACCCTTCTGGGGTCATTAGGGGGGATGGTCCATATCTCTGGCCCCCCTCGGTCGGTTTGATGATTGACACCTCTTTCTGACCGTGAGAGCCAATAGAATCGAGGGGAAGTTCCTAAAATCCATCTAAACATTACCCATTGAGGAGTGAGAGTGATGCGCACGCAGTTTGTCCAAAACCGGAAGCTGGGTTGTAGCTCTAATAGCAGCTAATAGCAGCTAATAGCAGCTAATATGAAAACTCCGTTATTAGCCGCGTTCACACCGCAGTACTTTTCCCACTTTAGTTCCGATATAGTTCCGAAATGTCGCGTTCACACCAAAAAGAGCCGGAACTAAAATTAGTTCATGAACCTTTTCCGTCCCTGCTAGAGAGCAAAAAGGTTCCTATGTCTGATTGGCTGGGCGGATTGCAAACCACGCCCCGTAAAACTCCAAAAAGGTTTTGTGAAGCCGCCATTTTATTATCCTCGCATTAGCATTATTAGCATTAGCATTATTAGCATTAGCATTAGCCCAGCGCACAAACGCAGAGAGACTAACTTATGGCAACACAAAATAAAACATGGGAGCGGTGGAGATGAGGAGGTGTCGGCGTTCTGGCGATTTCCTCTGAAGGCTTCAGTAGAAGCTGCTGGGAGTCCCAGCAGCTTCTACTGAAGCCTTCCCCAACTCCGGGGACTTCTGGCCGGGGACTCCGGGTGGCAGTATACGCCGTGAAGTGGTTTGCGGCCTGCCAGTAAACCCAAAGCAGAAGAAGAAGCTCCGTAAAGCTACGTTGTGTGATGTCTGGGTTCGCTTTCGAGTTCTGATCGCTCAGTGATGATACTTATACCTCTAGAATCTGTGGAATCTCAGCTTGCTAATCGATATCTTGTTTTTGCAGATCCGATAAGTAATAAAGTATTTATACCCATAGCCGTGGGAACATGTTTTAAATGGGGGGTGCTGTGGGGATGACACCAGGGCCGGTTCTGACCAGTTTGCTGCCATCGGCAAGATTTTAGCTGGCGATGAAAAACCTCTACAAAAGACCAACACACTACAAACAGAGAAACGTGTTGGCATGGTGACAGCTTGTATAAAAAGGCTTCAGATGTATTTAGTATTGTATGAACATGTTTTAATTGGGGGTGGACATCACATCCTCTAGGCCAGGGGTCTGCAACCTTTTTGACCAAAAGAGCCATTTCGCCCCCTTTTCCAACAATTTGTTTTGTCTGGAGCCGCAAAACATATTTGATAGCTTATAAAGTTGTATTTATTGTTACATCAAACACAAAAACTACAGGTTTTTTTGCATTTATTATTTATAAAACTGTTAACCTCTAATAAGAAACAAAGAACTCTTATAAGGAGAATAAAACAGGCCTACTTTAAAATAAATTAAACTTCATGTGATTGGTTGTTGGTCGAGCTTCAGACAGATCGACGCTCGCGAATTGTCAACGGGGGGGGGGAGGCGCTCGTGAACTGTTAACGTTCTGATAGGCTGTTTCGTCTCCAATCATATCTTCTATCTGAGGGCAGAAATGTCAAATGGGAGGGCCTGGGGGGTTTCTTGTCCGATGTGAGGGTCTAAAGGACAGAGGGGGTCATATTGATACTCTTTACAAACTGTAAAGTCCACTGAGACAAAAGTAACATTTGTGATATTGGGCTTTATAAATAAACATTGATTGATTGACAACATCCACAGAACTTTGTAATTATAAAGAGTTAGATGTTGGTTTATCCTCTGGCCAACTTGTGGCCCCACGCAAAGTTATGTGATGAGACCCTCTGTGTCGCGAGATGAGGCCCCACGCAAAGTTATGTGATGAGACCCTCTGTGTCTCTCATTAGGGTCTCCTCTCTCATTAGGGTCTCCCCTCTCGTTAGGGTCTCCTCTCTTGATGTTAACGAGGGTCTCCCCTCTCTTTCAGTCTCTGGACTTTATATTAACGAGGGTCTCCCCTCTCGTTAGGGTCTCCTCTCTTGATATTAACGAGGCTCTCCTCTCTTGATGTTAACGAGGGTCTCCTCTCTCGTTAGGGTCTCCTCTCTTGATATTAACGAGGGTCTCCTCTCTTGCAGTCCCTGGACATGGCGGGGCTGAAGTACCTGGTGACGGCCTTGGAAACGATGGAGGACCCGGAGAACCCGGAGTGTGAGAGCGAAGGCTTCCTGCTGGAGAAAGGAGTGAAGGAGACGTTCGCTGACCTGTTCGTTAAGATGAAGATGCTGCGGGGGGGCAACGAGGTGGAGGGGGGGGAGGCAGCCGAGGCCACCTGAGCCCCACCCCACCAAGGACTGAGGTCTCCCCCCGACTCTCCCCCAGAAACAGGGGGCGAGAGAGGAGAGGGCTCCTGAACACATCACCATCATCTTCATCATCATCTTCATCATCACCATCATCACCATCATCATCTTCATCGCGATCATCTTCATCACTATAACACACACACACACACACACTCACACCCAAACACTCACTCTCACGCAATCACTCTACGCACTGCTGGCCACACTCACGCACGCGCACGCACACACTGCACGCACACGCCTACGCGCACGCACCACACGCACGCAACACGCACGCACACCCACAACACTCACGCACGCACGCACCACACGCACGCACCACGCACGCACGCGCACGCACGCACGCACGCACCGTCTACGCACGCACGCACGCACGCACGCACGCACGCGCACACGCACACACGCACGTCACGCACGCGCACCACGCGCACACGCGCACTGCACGCACGCACGCACGCACAGCACGCACGCACGCACTGCACGCACGCACGCACGCACGCGCACACGCACACACGCACTCACCACGCACGCCACACGCGCACACGCACGCACGCACGCACACACGCAGCGCCACACGCACGCGCACGCACACACGCACGCACGCACGCACGCACGCACACACACGCACGCACGCACGCACACACGCACGCACACGCCCGCACGCAAGCACGCACGCACGCACGCACGACGCACGCACGCACGCACGCGCACGACGCACACCACGCACGCACGCACGGCGCACACGCGCACACGGCGCACGCACGCACGCACGCACGCACGCACGCAGCACGCACGCACGCACGCACGCACGCACGGCGCACACGCACACACGCACGCACGCACGCTCACACTCACACTCACGCACGCACTCTCACACGCACTCACGCGCACTCGCACTCACGCACCATCACGCACTCACGCACTCACTCACTCATCTGCACTCACACTCACACCTCACTCTCACTCACACTCCCTCACACTCTCACTCACTCACTCTCACTCACACTCACTCACACTCACTCACTCTCACTCACACACTCACTCACACTCACTCACACTCACTCACACTCACTCACACACACACTCACTCACACACACACTCACTCACACACACTCTGGGGTTGGCTGTGTGTAAATATGTTGATCAGTGTATTCTAACAGGATGATGCTCCTGCTGCTGTACATAAAACGTTTTTGTTGGATTTTAAATTACAAACAAATATTCCCCCCCATGATTAATGCTTCCTGTCCGTCAGCGCGGAGTCTAACGGGGACTCTGCCAAACGTTTGTTTCTGTGAAGAACAAATGTCCCTGAATGCATCGCTGAGCGCCGGTCGGCTCCGTGTCCGAGGGAAACAGGCGCCCGTTGGCCGGCAGCGGTACTGCAGCTGCTAACGAAGCACCGCTAACGAAACACCGCTAACGAAACGTGTACACGGGTAAACACCATGTGTAAACACCACGGGTAAACACCGTGTGTAAACACCACGGGTAAACACCATGTGTACACGGGTAAACACCACGTGTACACGGGTAAACACCATGTGTACACACACCACGTGTACACGGGTAAACACCATGTGTACACGGGTAAACACCATGTGTACACGGGTAAACACCGTGTGTAAACACGACGGGTAAACACCACGTGTACACGGGTAAACACAACGTTCACTTTTTATTTGGCTTTTCCCAACAGGTTCATATCAAACACTCATCATCTTCAGGTTTTTTAAGGTTGGTTGATAAGCTGTGCTAATGTCAGCTAGCTACTGCTAATGCTAACAGCACTAACTTGTAGCACAGAGCCTGTCAGGCAGAGTTCAGGGAGACACAGCCCACGGCCGTCTGTTTCCTGTCCGAGCGGCCCGCTGTGAACGTAGTACCCCTCAATGCAGTGCGCAATGCCTCAACGTCTCAATGTGGGCGGAGCTCAACCTTTCTCAACCTTTGAGGCACGTGACGTCCCGACTCCCGTGTTGTGTACTTACCCAGTCACAAAAGTAACATATTATATCTTATATTATTAATATATATATAATGATACCGGTAATATAATGATACCTTGAGGTCTGTGTTACATTTGAGTTTAAATGCAAACTTTTGAACTAACTTGATGGCGAGTGATCTGTCGCCAGGGCAACGGCATTTATAACATCATAAGGGAGGGGAGGAAAAGATGGGGATTCAAAAAGGAAATGGAGAAAAAGAGAGAGTTTAAAGGAGAACTGATTAGAAGTGGCAAAAATAATACTAAGGGGTAGAAGAGGTTAGGGGTTTAGGTTTGGGAGGGAGGGAGATTAGGATTAGGTAAGAAGGTAGGGAGTGGTTAGGGTTAGGATGGAGGGAAGGGAACTGCTACCCGGGAAACAGGATGCAACGCGTCATCTGTGAAGCTCCGCCCACATTGAGCTCATTGAGGCATTGCGCACTGCATTGAGGGGCTTCTCCTGTGAGGGGCTTCTCCTGTGAGGGGCTTCTCCTGTGAGGGGCTTCTCCTGTGAGGGGCTTCTCCTGTGAGCAGGAAAGCTTTTTTACTTAACGAGACGCAGAGTAAAATATGAATGTTTCTATGTTTCTGTTTTTCTGTGACGGAGAGTTGTGATGTTGGTGTACAAATATAAAGAGATGTGACCAATAACAGCTGTCCGCCTCGTCTTTACACACACACACACACACACACACACACACACACACACACACACACACACACACACACACACACACGTGTACTGAGGTTCATACAGGTGTCTTAATACCAGTTTATACAGGTGTGCTCAGGTGTGTAAATAGGAGTGTGTACATGTGTACTCAGGTGTGTAAATAGGAGTGTGTATACTTTAGAGCCGGTGTGTGCTGCAGGTTAATTGCAGATAAACGGTAATCAGCTCAGAGGAACAGATTACCTGATGATGTCAACTGAGCGGCCATGACGCACACAGGGGGGGGGGGGTGTTCCTGCATACAGGTGATGCCTGCTGTCTGTGTTTCTTAGGGTGTCTGATGAGACAGGCGAGCAGCAGCACTGTCCTCAGGTCGGAACAGCTTTATTGAACACGTTTTTATCATCAAATCAAATACAAAAGTTTACCTGTGACAGGAAAAACGTTTAATATGAAACAGGTGATGTGAAAGCCTTCATGATATTATGTATCCATACTTATAAACACGTAGTAAAGTATCAATAAACTGCTCAAGGGACCAATCACACGACTCCTCAGCCTGTTGCGAGGCAGAACTTAGATTACATCAGTTTATCTGATTTCATTAAGACAATCAGGCTAAACCCTATAGAAAGTACAGCAGTCAGTGAACGCATCACAGTTCAAAGACTGCAGTTTGATCTAAATCCATCCAGGAGTTTATTTATCTACCTGTCTCCCCTAAACTCACCTACAGTTAGCATTAGCTTCATTAGCATATTAACACACTACCTGTAAGGAGCTTTAATATAAAAATAACATTGTTAATATCCGTAATGAAGTGGAGGGGGGGGGGGGGGGGTGATATCGGTTAGTTTTATCGTGTTCACCTGTAGCTTGACCTCTAAGGAGCTCTGCAGGTAAATCCATACACCTGAGAAAGCAGAATATAAATATAATCTACAGGTCATCTGAAGGTGAGGGGAATCACACAGAGGTCACAGGTCAATGTCAGGTAGGGCGTGTGTGTGTGTGTGTGTGTGTGTGTGTGTGTGTGTGTGTGTGTGTGTGTGTGTGTGTGTGTGTGTGTGCGTGCGTGCGTCCGTGCGTGCGTGCGTGCGTGTGCGTGTCTGTGTGTGTGTGTGTGTGTGTGTGTGTGTGTGTGCGTGCGTGCGTGCGTGCGTGCGTGCGTGCGTGCGTGCGTGCGTGCGTGCGTGCGTGCGTGCGTGCGTGCGTGCGTGCGTGTGTGTGTGTGTGCGTGCGTGCGTGCGTGCGTGCGTGCGTGCGTGCGTGCGTGCGTGCGTGCGTGCGTGCGTGCGTGCGTGCGTGCGTGCGTGTGTGTGTGTGTGTGTGTGTGCGTGCGCAGTGGAGAGATTAAAGGAACCCTCTGGAGCAGATTTGAACTGATCCTGTTAACGCAGCACGCAACTCAAATTAACTCCTTCAGACTGTCAGCCAATCAGAGCAGAGCCTTCAGCCAATCAGAGCGGAGCCCCTTAGACAGTCAGCCAATCAGAGCGGAGCCTTCGGCCAATCAGAGCGGAGCTTTCAGACTGTCAGCCAATCGGAGATCAGTTAATCTCTATGAAGGGACAAAACTCAACAGACTTTTCACAACTTTTAGACATAATACCATCATACTATACTCTGACTCTGTTTACATACTATACTCTGACTCTGTTATCATACTATACTCTGACTCTGTTATCATACTATACTCTGACTCTGTTTACATACTATACTCTGACTCTGTTTACATACTATACTCTGACTCTGTTATCATACTATACTCTGACTCTGTTATCATACTATACTCTGACTCTGTTTACATACTATACTCTGACTCTGTTTACATACTATACTCTGACTCTGTTTACATACTATACTCTGACTCTGTTTTCATACTATACTCTGACTCTGTTATCATACTATACTCTGACTCTGTTTACATACTATACTCTGACTCTGTTATCATACTATACTCTGACTCTGTTTACATACTATACTCTGACTCTGTTTACATACTATACTCTGACTCTGTTATCATACTATACTCTGACTCTGTTTACATACTATACTCTGACTCTGTTTACATACTCTGACTCTGTTATCATACTATACTCTGACTCTGTTATCATACTATACTCTGACTCTGTTTACATACTATACTCTGACTCTGTTATCATACTATACTCTGACTCTGTTTACATACTATACTCTGACTCTGTTATCATACTATACTCTGACTCTGTTATCATACTATACTCTGACTCTGTTATCATACTATACTCTGACTCTGTTATCATACTATACTCTGACTCTGTTAT